TTACTATAATATAATTTATGATGAATACTAACAGTCTACTGCCCTGGTATGTCGAGCGGGCGAGCATATTAAGTTCACAAAAAACTCTGCCCGAGTTCCCTCTGGCCTTTTCACGTTATACAGGTTCTCACAGAACCTGCTCTGATAGACTAAAAAAGAACTGTTTCTACATTTTCTACCTTTCCTTTGACGTTTCCTGTTTTTTCTGTTACGTTTTTTTCCAAGAAGACGCTTGGCAGCAAAACGCCGCTCCCACTTTCTGAATTTAGAAACCCAAGCTCGCTCCCAGGTTTCTACCACGCCGGTTGCCGGAAGTAAGTAAAGTCTTTTTTCTCGCACATCTTCATGACCAGCCACCAAGTAATCCGCGTTCATCCGGGAAATCTGAGGACAGTCACAAGTGGTATTGCTGCGCAAATATACTGTATCTCCTTTCCTCAAATCAACTAACCCTTTCTGTAGTACGCGGTGTACTCTTCCTTTAATGATGCGTTCACTTCCATTCTTGCTAACTGATTTAATGCGCATTTTCAGTACTGTAGACAAATAGGTAACATTTTAGGAGAAGTTAGCATAATGGGACATATTAAAGCAGTTGCAAGTGGAATTCCTATAACCTTTTTTTATTTTTTATTGGTTAGTTTAGCTAATGCCATATTAATTTTGGCTTCGAGAGAAAGGACAACTATCAATATCAAATTTCAACCCTCACTGACGTTTCTAATAGTTAACCCATCAATTAACAATCAAGCCAGGTCTCACAACTTTGGAAATGACTGTACCGGGCAGAGCACATAAAAAGGTTTACAAATTGCTACAAGGAAGTCGCTTCGGTCTTTGCAGTTTTGTTTTTAAAATTTCAAAGGGAGGATAACTTACCAAACGTGTAACGAGTCTGTTGATAAAACTGGAAGTTAAGATGCTGTTTAGTACAACTGCATGATGACTGTGTCGGGGGTGCTGCAAATTTCATGAAAATCTAATGTGAGTAACGTTGACGTTGTTAAGGTTGGTTTACATGAACAACCAACATGCACAAGCGCAATGATTGATAAGTTTTGCGCATGCGCTTATTGCTAGTACTTTAAAATAATTTAAATGAAATAATTGCGTTGTACGAGTAAAACAACCATGATGCATAGAGATCAGGGGCCCGTTTCTCATAAGTCCCGATAACCTTTCGGGACCGAAATCAAATATTCAAATCAAAATCGTAAGAAATCAGGCGCGGTTCCTTAAGCTAACAAACCAGTTAATTTTGGTATCTTAACTGATAGTTTTACCATATTATCTGCCACATTTAAAATGTTAAAATGATTTTAAGAACAGAACTTTCGTTAATGGGCACCAGACCCGGGTTTCTGGGAAAATGGTCAATAACTTTTAATACAGTTGAGCGAAATTTTAATCAAACTTTTCTTTTCAAGAAAAACTTAATTTGAGCGCTTATTATATGATTGAGCTTTTAATTAGAGACCCAGTTATGTTAACACAAAATGAGGGTGAGTTCAGTCAACAATCTGTGAGAGAGTAGACACAATCGTCAGTGATGGATTTAAATTTAATCCTGCGGGTTTAACGCTTATCGGCTCTCGGTGAGTTAGGCCAGGAGTAGCGGTAATGGCTCTAGGGAATGATTCTGAAAAGCTGGAGAGTAGTACGCTTCTGTGAGCATCCAAACATAGTACAAACTTTAATAATTATATTAATAGCAAGTTCTGTTTAAGCGCACTGATTTTAAATTTGCGACATAACCAATGAAATAGAAGCAGTGTTTGTTAAGTAGAAAAGCAGATTGAAAAGACCATGTAAACTTCTTTGCGCTCTATCCTGTTACGTATTATCTTGTTACTTATAAGACTGAAGGAACAAAACAAAACAAAACAGAACAGAAAAAATAACAAAAGACGCCAAATTCTCTGTTTTATCAGTAGGGGGTTAGGATGACTGGTTTTGACTTTTCAAAAACTCTTACAAGTCTACAAAAGTGAGACACGAACAGCGTGAACTGACTCCCAGATCTTTCATATCTTATGGCCAAGAGACTATAAAGGGGACAGAGAGGGCATCCACCATATACACCCTATTCCATAGGTAATTCGTCTCGAGTTATTTTTAGAATCGGGATAAAGTTACCTCGCGCGAGGCGTGGATGTTTCGTGGAGGTTTCGCATGACCAAACGCCGTGCAAAACATGTCGGGCGAGAGGCAATGAAAGCGTAAAAAGATCGAGAGCATTCCTGAATATTGAAGCGAAATGAGTCGGCGCTCACCTGGGAAAAAGGAATCGCTGGACTCTTTAACAACCCGTGAAATCAGTTTAACTCGAAGTTGTCGTAACCTCAATGCTTTAATAAAATGAGAAATTTCGCCGGTCTATTGAAACCGGTCGTTTGTACAATTTAGGGAGTTTAAGATCCAACGACGCGGACGATAACTAGAACGTCAAATAAACAATAGGTTTAATTAGCAAAACAACAACTTCGCACGTGCAACACACTTTTTTGTTCATTTCTTTCCCGTTTTGCACGACTACGACGTGAAAATGCCTAATTTCGCGTTTTATGGAGGACGTAAATAAGCAACGACGAAATTTTATTTCACTTTCTGAGGTTTAATATGGTCCCTTGAAATTCAGCTTTAGGAGGGTTCGTCTACAATTGACAAAGTAAGTGGGTAGGAATAATCGCTATAAAGACTGAAAAAAACTGAAACATCAAACCAGAAATTGCTCTCTTCAAACTGTAACTTATAAATGATCCTGAGAGAATATTCAGTGTGTTAAGGATTTCCCTGCTCTACTGTTAGCTCTATTCAAGAGAGGAAGGGCGATTCTTTTTTAATTTCGGTTTCGCTGACACAGCTTTCGCAGAAATCTCGCTGTAGTCGTTTTCGTCGACAAAAGGAATAGCAAAATCGCTCTCCGCGTCTTCCCCCATTTTGTTCTGCGTCATTTCGTGAAGGACGCGTGGCTCTCAGTCATCCACGCGGAACACATTCGCGCTATGTGATTGGCTGTTGTCTAATCCCCCTTGAGATCTGTGGTGTTAAAAATAACTCGAGACGAATTACCTATGGAATAGGGTGTATATGGGTGATTAAATTAACTGCAAAAACCGTGGACGAAGGTCCTGCTAGTTGTAAACGTTGGATCTCTAGAAAAGAGATCAAATCAGCCAAAATATAAAGAACAAGAACGAGAAGTCCGAAGACTACAGCAAAGTTGATTTAAAACAACGTGTATTGTTTTTTATAACAATATTTCGACTGGCCATACCAGCCTTCTTCAGGTTTACAGATGTTTGTTTTGGGGGGATGCCCTCTCTGCCCCGTTTAGTCTCTTGTTATGGCTTAATAGCATCATGCAGTGACTGCCTTCATACACTAGTGCATGTCGACCTCATCTGCTCCACTATACAGCCTCACTTCAGATTGGTCATTAAAAACACGAAAAACGTTTTTGCAAAAAGCAAGCTTAAGTTTTGGGGCCAAGGAGGATAACATACACATCTACAATTGGCTCAAAGCAGATCATATGTATTACTTAGAGAAATGGGGGGCGGGGCGGGGGTTAAACATTAAAAGGCAGTAAACGGCATGGTCTGTGGTTGCAAGACCCTTTCTCCATGACTCTGTCATGATGCGTTCTAACATGGACGACACAGATGTCCGCCGCGGCCACTGCTAAGTTGATACGGATGTGCGCATGCGTAAGGTGCTCACCATATCATGCGTGCTTCTTTGCTTAATTCTGATCTTAATTTTAAGTTCATGCAACACCTTTCAAAGGGTCCTTAACTCTAAAAAAGTAATCAGCGAAAAGTATGTTACCGTTTGTCATCATTAGCAATTTTATGGAGCAGCTACTTAATGAGGAAGCTATTTAAGCGACTTTTTCCAACACTGACATTGGTAGTCTCTTTGTGCAGTGAACAGGTGCAATCACCAAATGATATAATACAAAGATTGAAAAGATAAGGAACAATACCCACACCACAACACAAAAACAAACCAATAATGGTTCCCGCGCCCAACACTAGGAAATACATAGGCTGAAATTTATATTCACTTTAGTTTAAAAAGCAGCAATTTGATATTTTTACCACAAATCCATACTTTTATTCTCTTTAATAGGAAACTTCTTCGGACTTAAATTACTGATCACGCGAATAAACATGCAATCAGACCTCAGTTGGTCAGGTGTCAAAATTCGCTTGTTTTGAGGCAAAGAGTTAAATAATGTGGTAGTCAGTAGTTAATAGGCCATGAATTCGGCTTTGCAACTGAACTAGTCACTGATTGAAGTAGAAAAACAAAGCTAATAAAAAGAAACAAATTGCGTGATCCTAAATACTTAAACAATCGCGTGACAAATCAAACTCAAAGCCTTAAAGAATGTTAATATGTTTATGTTGTTGTTTACCCAAGGAATCCTCTCTTATATTTCTTCGAGGGAAGCATAAATTCAGGCTCTAAATATTTTTATGCCGTTATAAAAGAAATATGTTTTTCCTTTTCCCCCTGATCGATGTTAATACTAATGCTATGAGCCCTGTTTTTACACAACGATTCCTGCCAAATGAATCTGTATGTAACAATTATAAACTGTTTTATTGTAACATTGTTTTAAATCCTCTCACGACACGAGAGCCATCATAAGGCGAGAAAATATAAACGGTTACAAGAATTCCAGGAATGCCATAGCACAGTGTTTTAATAACGACAATAATAGCTTTATGGTAATATTCTAAATTTTGGATCAAGTGCTTTCCATAAGGGGCCGACCATTTAACTCTTGAGGGGTGGGGTGGGTGATTTCTGCTCATCAAGAATTTTTTTTTCTAGCAATCTGGTGGGCAAGATATTTTTTTCCCTTTTTTTCCCATAAGCTTTCTATTACATTTGTGCTGCATGCAATTTTTTTCTTCCAACAAGTGCTTGCAGGAAATTTTTTTTCAAAATCACCCACCCCCCCTCTCAAGAGTTAAATGGTCGGCCCCTAAGTTTCTTTAACTAAGTAAACAACATTTCAATATCGTAATGGAGGTCAATACTAGACAATCTGAGGGGCACGAAAATTAAGGCACGAATTTAATTACAATTTGCTTTGTTTTGGCAATGAGAAAGCAAAAACTAATAAACCTGAAAAATAGAAATCGAAACAATTTAAACCGGAACTAAAAGTAGATTTTTTGTGTTAAGCAAAACCGAGATTGAGGTTAGAAACGTCATTCAATTTTTATTCGTGTTGTAACCTTAAATCCGTGCATTTTATCGCCACATAATCCACTTTACAGGTAGATAAATCGTTAAGACGTAGATTAAACAAGAAAAGTGTTGACAGTGAAATTGCATTTTTTGTCAGCAAACGTTCAATAGACTTGATGAAAAAATTTAACACGTTTTGGTAAAAAAAAAATCCTCTTGGGTCATTTAATATCACTGATAGAAAACGTCCAGAGGAGAAATAATTGCTGAAATAGTTGTTCAATAGACGGGATGTTCTGACAAGGCTTTTAAATTAAATAAACTCAGCTAATTTAGTTATCTGGGATACTCGGCTCCTCTGACGACAGTGCCAGGCGGTGCGCGTGACGTACAAGCTTTCTTTCGCTGTAGGTTCACTTGATTGACTTGACTATTAACGCTTCAAAGGAAAACCCAAACTATCCTAAGGAGGACAAAAGCTTTGTATTACATTAGATCTGCTTCAAATCACCCTTAAACACTATTCGTCGGCTGCAGCGAACAAAAGAAAAACAGACAAACGCTTAGAAACATCGTTCACCTTTTCCGTACTGCAAACAGCGGAAATTGGCCAGAAAATCGACCCCCGCCTTCATTATATGCTACTAAGCAAATTTGCTTTTTTCTTAATAACAACCTGGGGCAGAGTGGGGCTAAAAACATATTGTCAAGAATTCTTATCAAAGTGGAAGACAAAACGTCAACTGTATTTTAGAATCTAAGGCAAATTACAAGAGAAAGTGTCAAACAATTGTATCGAAATCCTGCCTGAAATGGGTTCGTGTCTGCGAAACATGCAGTCACTTCATTTTTTTTCTACAAAGCAATAATCAGCACGAATTTTCCTGTACATTACTTTTGGAAAGATGTTTTATGGGGGAAATACTTAAAAGTTATCTAACTCAAGTAAAAAATTTTGAGCGGTAATTTTTCTTTGTTTTCCTGTTGTTTTCATGATATTGCCAAGTCTGTGGCCTCTGAACTTGCTGTCGGACTCTTGTAAAGAAGTTATCTCTTAGTGAATCAAATGAACAATTTGGCACACTTGAATTGTAAAATGGACAAGGAAATGATCGTCTGGTGTGAAGGTGTGAAAACACAAGGATGGGAATTTTGTTCACAAATTCAGATACCTTCTGTGTATTACCTGATCGAATTACGGAGGGCGGGTTTAAACGTTTTAATTTCCTGTGAAGCTTTAACTCTGTACATAGGATTATGCACGCGTGCGTCATTTAATCAGAAAGCTGTTTTGTTATCTCCTTATCAGGGCCAAGGCAACTTAAAACAACTTTAGCACGACAGACTTTCTTTCTATGGTTCATAATACGTTCAGGAAATATCTAAACATTAAAAAAAATATTACGCTTTATAATGTAAGATCATGAATGTCAAATAAACTTTAGAGCGTTCCAATGATGATAAAGTTATGACTAGCAATTTGTGACTGAATTCAAAATAGTGCATCACCTTCACTACCATCGAATTCTACACTGCTCCCAGCTTTCTTCTGAATAATTCCGGTTTTCTACACCACAAAAGCCGTTACATTAATCAGTGCTTTAAAAATCCCGATTGCTGTAACCGATCACAAGGTCATTATAAATTATTAGTTAACATTCAAAATCAAAGTGCAGCTATTGAAACCTTATCTAAGTGACCATATATACGATCATTTGTTCGGTACAAGAATATTCTATCTTTTTAGACTACTAGTTCTAGATATTAGATACTACTTCTAGATACGTTTTAAAATAGAGGAAAGAATGAATCTAGTATATTACTTAACTTACCAGGCGAGTTGACGAAAGAGTCTTGGGTCACACATACATCACTGTCATAGGAAGGGAGGTCCTTGCACACAACATCTTCTGGCCATTTTCCTTTATACTTTCTAATCGTTGCCATGCAGTCGGACATGACTTTCTCGCAGACTGATCTACACGGTCTAATTGGCCTGGATTTGAACGATGGAGCACATATTGGCAAGTGGTACGAACACAGGAAAAAACCTGCCTCCGGCGAACAATTTATAGCAACGATGGCGCGAAAAAGATCGATTTTCTGACGGGCGTGTTTCTGTGACAATTGCTCCAGTGCGTTTGGGAACATTGTCATATTATAGGGCAGGTATCGTTTGCAGAGAGGGACCTTAATAGGCTCACAGCTACGACTACTGGCCACCGTTTTCAAGTCACCAAGGATCGCAGTGATAAAACAAAACAAGGTTGTTAAAGTCTTCAGGGAATGCATCTCAAGTGCTTAAAGCAGAAAGCAAATGAATGTTACTTGGCTTGCCCTCTGTACTGACCTCTATTTCTTAGTCGACGTGCTCTTAAACTAAAGCCCTTGAGTAATATTGTCCGAGAGCCTGCATTACCTTATATAGAGCAGGCGCAAATGAATGTTTATTCAAAATGATCGAGACCTATATATAGGAAAGAACGCCGCCTAGATGCGCGAAACCGGCTTCAGTAAATACATAGTCATGTAAGCCCCCTGATTGATGGCCTGCTTTTTCACACTTTCGGACGTTCACCAACCCGTTATGCTGGCATCTCTCTGAGACTCGTTTTTTACTTACTATAAAATGGAGCTCTAATCATGAGTGTGCTGATCTTAGGCTCAGTGATGTTATAAGAAGCTAGGCGCCACCATATGTTACAAGTATATGGTTTGACCTTGTAAGCTCTAGAGAACAAAGCAATAAAACACTTGTTATTGACTAATTGGGTCTTTTACGAAACCGCTAACTTGAATTAAAATTTATAATGTAAACGGACACAATTCAGTACGTCTAATTTAGGTGCCGATCAATTTGACTGAATTTGTGAAATACCAATGACCACACAGAAGCGCCGTTGAGTGTCGTAGGAACTAAGTGAAAGAGCGGCTATCAGTACCACCGGGTTATTCGGAAGAGTGATTTGAGTACTGAACCTTTATAATCTGAGAGTCAGTTGAAGATATCAGTTCATCAAATCATCAAATTCTCATCAGCTTCATCTATTTATTCTAGTTCAGCGGCAACATCAAAGAATCTGTCTTGTAATAGTCGTGGACTTTTAAATGGCGGGAAATAGAAGCGGCGAGGGCACGGGTTTGGACGATTCCAGACACTCACTTGCAAATGAAGTAGCAGCTGAGATAAAATTATATTTATACTTCATCTTAAGTAGAGCAGGATTTCCGGATGTTTTACTTAAAATTCGAAGCATTCATGTCGCAATGCAAAAACCTTTTAAATGATAGCTTTTTTAGGATGTGTTTGTAATGAATTAAGACCGGCTGAGAAAATAATCCAGCGGAAAAGAAGATTTATGCACGCGGATTCAAAATAATATAATCAACTCTTTAAGCTATTTTGATACAGATTTATCTTTTGTTGTTACACGAGAAGTTTGTCAGTTCCTTGGAAGTTTGCAGTGTTCCCTAAAGCAATTTAAAACACAAAAATAATTGTTTTAATAACCTATAAGAAAGTGGGAAAAGAAGACAACCTTTCGGCATTAAACGTAACTGCACTAACTGCACCACTAAGAAGTCAGTTTCCGGTATCTTGAGCATTTGTCATTAAAATACAGTAGATTCGTTTCAAACCACTTCCGTAAAAAAATGACTACTGTTTTTTTTATCACCCACTGCATTTTTGGAATTTCGTTTCCAGGAGTGAAAAACTTTGTTCATCAGACACTTAATCACAAGCTGCTTATTTATTTGGAACCTCAATATAATTAGCTAATAACTCAGGATAAAATTGGACAAACACAGATGAGGTTTAATTCCACGATGATTTCTCCGCAGCTAAATGACAAAAAAATAAAAACGTTTCTTGATGTTCTCCAATTTCAGAAGGTTTTTAAACTCCATATTGTACAAAAACTAAAGGAAAATAAATAATAAAAGATATATAATCGAAGGCATTTTATCCCATAAGATAATCGTAATACAAGTGGTGAAGGTCATCTTTTCCGTTAGTATTTCCTAAAGATATCAAGCAAAAATACCACTGGTATTGCAAAAAGAATGAAGGATTTGGCCGATTCAGTGCTTAATGATACGACAGGTTTAAACAGAACTCCACGGAAATTAGTGAGTAAAAACTATTATTATTATTATTATTTTTCTTGTTACTACTATATTTTTTATGTTTTTTTTTTGCAGGGTAAAGAGCTCAAAAAGCCAACCATGTGTTTTTCTCTCTGAATGATGTAAGACGATCAGAAATCTTCAAACTTTATAGCGGAAGGATACTTTTATCAGATTCGCAGAAGTATTTTATTCAGCGCTAGATGTTAGCATAAACAAATATAGCTATAGGCCCATTTTTTCTATGGACCCATTTTCTTTTCTTTTTTTTTCTCTCTCTTTCTTTCTTTCTTTTTTCACCGCTGACCGGACGTTGACGCTTGATACCTTGGCAAATTGATAGCAACTGAACTGTCTGCAGTCAGCAGAGCGAGACGTACATATAGCACTCGTGATAATTTCTTGGCAAATAAAAAGTGAAAACGCGTTTTATAGAGTTAAGAGGCCAAGGTTTTGTTTGTTTATGTAAAGGTAAAAGTGATGTTTGAAATGTAAAAAGTTGTAAGGCATTCGGTAAATTGATTTCAACCTTTTCTCCCTTTTAAAACAGACAGGACATTGAGAATTATACTAGAATATAGTGTGTACGCTCTTTTCGGCTCCAGGCCGCAAAAACTGGTATAAATTTGTGAATTTTCAATTTTGACCCTGATAATTTAGTCATAACGCACAGGTGTATGAAGACTGTTAAGAAGGTGACACAATCTCCCATGAAGCTGCAGCCAGCTTTGCGCTAAGTGATCGACTTAAAAACGCGATGTGGGATGTGTGTATAGTCTAAGTGTGATGACAATCTGAAGACACAGGAAATATAACAAGCATTTTAGCTGTCAAAGCAGAACCTCATTCATAAAATACCAGAGATTTTCGCAGACTTCAAAGCACATTTGCCCAGCTTATAATCATCAATTGTCGTCTTTAATCATGTCAGAACACACCTACCAAGGCATTGTCTCCAAGTCAATAAAAATTCCAGATTTTTAAATAGTTTTCCGAGTTATCCATTGAACTTGGGGGTAAATTTCAAAGAGATTTACTTTTAGTCAAGCTTAACCAAGCTACAACTATCAAATTCCGCTCAAACAAGCCGTAAAATTCCAAAAATAAGCCCCTCCAAATATAACCCCCTCCCCCCCTCAAACTCGTAACTCAAAAAACCGTCTGATAAATTGCCCCTCCAAATACAAGCCCACCGGGACTTGTACTCGTAAATTGCCCTTAAATTCAAAATAAAACAAAGGAAAAACTGTATACTTAACACATAAATTTTTGCATTTGCCAAAGAACTATTACGTGTGCCAAATGACTGAAGTAAAAAAGTGTCACGGTATATTTAGTGCTGTTTGCGTAGTTCACTCTGCAGTCTTGGCTTGGATTTCCTCGTCCATATAGACGTAGTACTTGCAGGGAAGGTTTAGAAAGATCTACATCCTCAAGGCGAGTTTCAGTAAAACTTGCTGCAAATTGCTGCCATAAATTTCCTTCCAACTATAAGCTAGCCCAATTGATTTTGAGACGCATATTTCCCTTCCAGTATAAAGCCTAGCCGATTTTGAAACGCAAATTTCCCTCCAATTATAAGCCCCTCCAAAAAGGGCCTTTGGATATAAGCCCAGGGGCTAATTTTCGGAGTTTGCGGTATTCCACTTCAGGTCTAAAGCACCCCAGGGCTCAGAACTTACCGAATCAGCAAATTCTACGTTTGCAGCATGAAGCGGTCTAGAATGGTGGCTAATCGATCAACTCATCCGGAGCGCAATCGTCAAGACCCCAACTGAACTTTTAAAAGTTTAACTAGCTTACTTTGGCGGAACTAATCAATCAAAGGACGTCCTAGACGGAAATAACAGTAATAAGTTTAGCGCTAGCTACTTGCAGACAGTCCAGGGGGGAGCAGGCCGATGCGGATCTTTGTCTCGTCATCGTTTAACTGCAAGTTGTTGTGCAGCATTCAGGAATTCACACTACTGATGGTCGCCAACATCTGAGGTCTTAAACGCACATGCAGTACATTTGTGTGTCGTCAGCATATTGATGGAGGAGACTTCTTGATGACGCATTATGTCCCCAAGGGGCGCCTTGTACATAGTGTGCAGTAGCAGACCAAGCAAGGAATCCTGAGGAACACCGCAAGTCAAAAGACAACTGGCTGATCGTTCACTAACAATGGATACAAACTGTGTTTTCTTTCTGCTAGGTACGATGTGAACCACTGACAAGCCAAAATGAAAAGTGACAATCCCAAAGCGGTTGAGCAGCCTCTGGAGGAGAATCTGATGGTCTACTGTATCAGACTCGGCAGACAAGTCGAGCATCATCAACAGGACCACGCTCTTGTTATCATCAATCGAGCTCAGGATATCATTTTTAACCCTAAATAAAGCAGAGTCCGTGCTGTGAGCTACTTTAATTTATAGGCCGACTGGAAAGGCTCAAGTAGACTGTTCTCGCTCAGATGACTGACAACTTGGGGGGCTAACACTCTTTCGCATAAGTTAGATGTAAACATAAGATTGGATATAAATAATTATTGAATATTACATAAGTGCCGAAGCCGACACCTCAGTGACAGAACAGGTGATTTTCTCCCTACAGACGTCACAGCTACGCCTTCCTCAACTGGGGAACGTTATCATAGCACATTTTGATCTTTTTTCCATGGTCGGTATCTCCACATTTTTAAACAGCCAATCAGGATATAACCATTCAGGTGTAACAATTGATGTGTATCAGACTGAACAGTCACGATATTTCGAAATGTCGTGCTTTAATTATATTTAGGATTTTCTCTTAGCCTATGAACTTTTGCAGTTTTTTCATTTGCACATCGAGATTAAAAAAATGTTACAATAAAAAATTAAAGGGAAACTGTATTGTGGATAGCTTACTCTTTCTTCCTGTGTCGCCATAGGACCTAATTTCTATTTAATCAACTTATTTGCCAAACACTATATAGGACATATAGGCCACTCCGGTGTAAAGTAAAAAAATTTATTTCAAGGGTAGAAGAAGGAAAATGTTATCTAAAGGGTAGCTTGACGTTTTCTTTTTGGGGGAAAGGAACAGCAGAAGCTGTAAAAGAAACGAAACCTACTTACCGTAGAGGGTAAGACCATGTTGAATTCAACTTTTCTTTTGATTCCGAACCACTGAAGCATAAATCA